GTGGCGGAGAAAGAAATCCATTTGTCTGCTGACTGTTTGGGATAACATATAGCATGTCTGGAAAGGTGAGTATATGAGCAAAGATACAGAGAAAAAGAGAAGATGGAGGGGAGAGGGACAGTGAGGATAAGGGAGGGTATGAGGGTAGGACAATGGGGGTGGGAGGGGGGAGCAGGTAAAGATGGAGGGAGAGTGGACAATGAGAATGTGTGGGGTGTTGAGAGAGAGAGGGTGGAGGGGTGGACAATGAGGATGTCAGGGGTGCACAGAGAGAGGGTGGAGGGGTGGACAGTGAGGATGTGAGTGAGGGGTGCACAGAGAGAGGGTGGAGGGGTGGACAATGAGGACGTGAGGGGTGCACAGGGAGAGGGTGGAGGAGTGGACAGTGAGGATGTCAGGGGTGCATGGAGAGAGGGTGGAGGGGTGGACAGTGAGGATGTGAGGGGTGCACAGAGAGTGGGTGGAGGGGTGGACAATGAGGATGTCAGGGGTGTAGAGAGACAGGGGTGGACAATGAGGATGTCAGGGGTGCACAGAGAGAGGGTGGAGGGGTGGACAGTGAGGATGCGAGGGGTGTAGAGAGACAGGGGAGAGGGGTGGACAATGGATGTCAGGGGTGCACAGAGAGAGGGTGGAGGGGTGGACAGTGAGGATGCGAGGGGTGTAGAGAGACAGGGGAGAGGGGTGGACAATGGATGTCAGGGGTGCACAGAGAGAGGGTAGAGGCGTGGACAGTGAGGATGTGGGGGGTGCACAGAGAGTGGGTGGAGGAGTGGACAATGAGGATGTGGGGTGTGCACAGAGAGAGGGTAGAGGGGTAGACAATGAGGATGTCGGGTGCACAGAGAGAGGGTAGAGGAGTGGCCAATGAGGATGTCAGGGGTGCACAGAGAGAGGGTAGAGGGGTAGACAATGAGGATGTCAGGGGTGCACAGAGAGAGGGTGGAGGAGTGGACAATGAGGATGTGGGGGGTGCACAGAGAGAGGGTGGAGGGGTAGACAATGAGGATGTCGGGTGCACAGAGAGAGGGTAGAGGAGTGGTCAATGAGGATGTCAGGGGTGCACAGAGAGAGGGTAGAGGAGTGGTCAATGAGGATGTCAGGGGTGCGCAGAGAGAGGGTAGAGGGGTAGACAATGAGGATGTGGGGGGTGCACAGAGAGAGGGTAGAGGGGTAGACAATGAGGATGTCGGGTGCACAGAGAGAGGGTGGAGGAGTGGACAATGAGGATGTCAGGGGTGCACAGAGAGAGGGTAGAGGAGTGGTCAATGAGGATGTCAGGGGTGCGCAGAGAGAGGGTAGAGGGGTAGACAATGAGGATGTGGGGGGTGCACAGAGAGAGGGTAGAGGGGTAGACAATGAGGATGTCGGGTGCACAGAGAGAGGGGGGGGGGGGGGACAATGAGGAGTAGAGGGGGATGAAGAGAGGGGATAAGGGGAGAGATGGAGGGAGAGGGTAGAGGGGGATGAAGAGAGGGGATAAGGGGAGAGATGGAGGCAGAGGGTAGACAGGATGAAGAGAGGGGATAAGGGGAGAGATGGAGGGAGAGGGGGATGAAGAGAGGGGATAAGGGGAGAGATGGAGGGAGAGGGTGATGGTAAAGGGGTGAAGGCTGGAGGGGATAAGGGGAGATGGAAAGAGAGGAAATGAAGAGTGGGGATAAGGGGAGAGATAGAGGGAGAGAGTAGATGGGATAAAGTGAGAGATGAAGGGAGGGGGAGGAGGGGATGAAGAGAGGGATAAGGGGAGAGATGGAGGGAGAGGGTGTATCCAGCAGTGCGGGACCAGGGGGGCAGCCCATGTATACTAGGTAAGTACGAGCGGCGGGAGATTTGTGTGGGATCCAGAAACGCTGTTATGAGGTGGATATGAAGAGAAATGGTTAGTTACATTTGTGACTTGTGCTGGATGTGAGATCTCCGCCCAGTAAAGTCCCTACTCTGGTGCGATGAATAGAAATCCCTAAAACCTATTGATTATCTCCCTACTACCTGTGTGTGTTCTGGCTGCTGGGCGCACACTTTGCTCTGTGGATGGATGAGTCATTATTTCTTGTTCCCTCTAAATACTCACCATTCCTAATCTCTAAATGACCTTACACGTGATCTTCAGACCCGGTATCATACCGGAATACATACATGAACATGTTACATGTGCTGGGTTGTCCAGTTTTGAGGACCTCCGCAGAGCGGGTTTTGCACTGAACATCAATGCAATCTGACTTTTGTATTTATTATTCTGTTTATTGTTACATAGATATTACTTTTGGTCAAGAAACGGACTTGGAAGGTAACATCATATGATAACTGATAAAATCTCTCTTTTATTTTGTACACAGCACTCTAAAATAATAAAAACATGTAACATGTACAATGATCCGAGTGAGAGCTGGTGGGTTGCTCTACTTCTTCTCCATCTTAGGCCATACCTTCTACTTCCTGTGGAGGAGGGACATCTCTCAGTGTACAATATTTAGGAACCCCTTCTCGGCCTTTTGGAGAAGATCAAGTGTAGAGTCTGTTCTTATCACTCTTCTATCTGAGGTGTCCCTTATCTGGGGACCATATAATACATGGATTTCTAGAGCAGGAAGATGGAAGAAGCGCTTGCAATGTTCATTCCCGACACTGACCTGGTATTCCTGGACGAAAAGCGAGAGGGTACAGGGAATGAAGAGAGGGAATACGAGGAGAGATGGAGAAACACCACACTCCTCAATAGGATACACTCCATGATGGACAGATCTAAACGTGGGTGGAACAGTGGAACCATGTGGGGAAAAGAGAGCCCGCCTCCTCCCTACCCAGTCTGGTTATATCTACACATACTTTTGGTACAACTCACTGATCTCATTAACATTCTGTGAGCTGCAGTTCTGAAAATTCATTTCAGGGGGTTCCTCAAGATCTCAAAGTTTTTCTAAGGGTTCCTCCAGGGCTTGAGGAAGGATGATGTCAGGGGTGAAGGAGGGAGATGAGGAGATAGTGATGCTACTTCTCCATCTTAGACCATACCTTGTATTTCGTGCAGAGGAGGGACATCTCTCAGTGTACAATATTTCGGTGTCTCTTCAAGTGTAGTATCTGTTTTTATCAGTGTTCTATCTGACGTGTCCCCTATCTGGGGATCATGTAATACATACAATTTTAGTTCAGGAAGATGGAAGAAGAGCTTGCTGTGTCCATTCCATGAACTGACCTAGTATTCCAGGACCAGTGCACCACAAAATAAATTAAGAAAAGGTCAAACCCTTGCCACGTCCCAGACCACGCAGACCATAGTGGCAAAAATTGATCAGTTAAACCCAATGGTGATTTGTCCATGTGACAGATTGACTACTCTAGTGACAGGTACTCTTTAGGCTGGTTTATGTAGAAACATTTCAAAGGGCAATGTGTTGGTGGTGTGGCGGTGGTTGCTGTGGTGGAGGTGTTGGTGGCGGGGGGGTGGTGGTGGTTGCGGTGGTGGTGTTG